GGTTGGAAAACTGACAGTTAGTCTCTATGGTTTTCCTTGCTTCTGTGCAGGGAGTGAAGAAGGAAAGATCATAGAGACTGTCAGTTTTCAAACTAATTCTAAAGGTATGTGATTTGTTTTGTTTTTCACAGCAACTTAATTTAATAAATAGAATTTTCTTTCAAAATTTGAAAGGATTATTCATTTAAAACTTCAGATTTTATGACTATTTCTTATGCCAAAAAAGGGAAATGTGGGGGCACACTCGCAACATGCACTGGAACATGCATTTCTAAGTAGTTTACTCTATTGTAGAGACCAAAATGTTCTTCCGTTTGCATAATGATTCTTAATCTGTGATTTGTATAGATTGTTAGGGCAGTCAAGACTATATTTCATCCTTAAGGCTAAATAATTGTTGCAGAGTAACAGAATTTCACCAAACTGAAAAGTTTTAATAAATTCTGAGCAAACTACTAAGGAGTACTCATCGCCAAACTCTAAAATATACTAAATTCATCCCCTGGAAATATTAATTCTGTAACAAGGGTTGGCAGGTTTTGAAATAGGTTGGGGGGAGGGAAAAAAACACACAGACCTAAGTGTGCATGGTCCTACTCACGTGGACTATGCTATTTGTGGATGTGACAGATGAAACCTGCTGGAATTGTAAAGTATGACATCGTATATCCCTGCAATTTGCATCAGTAGAACCTTCACAGCATGAAGGAAACATTTGGATGTGTTGTGTGGACTCTACTCACACTGCACATGCAATGGACTAATGTGACCGATGAAGGTCACTGGAATTGCAAAGAGTGACATCATATATCCCTAAAACCTCTACTGGTATCGAGCATGATAGAACAGAACATTCACATGTGTGCATGCTTAAGAGACTCACACCTCTTCCTAGGCTTCCACTGACACCACAGACAATAAGAGTTATGGATGTCACAACCAGTGGCGGATCCAGAGCCTGATCTCGGGAGGGGCACTTGTAGATTATTTAAATAAATATTCCTGGCACAATAACCACTACAGCTCAGTGTAGTAGTTATGGTGCCAGGATCCCACCCCAGAGTAAGTAGTCATACCGTTTAAGAACAGTTTGACAACTTACCTGGGGTCTGCTGGGATATAGGGCATAGGAGCAGCGGTGTGTGTTAGGGGTGAAGTGTGTGTGAAAGGTGCAGTGTGTGTGAGCGGTGAAGTGTGTGTGTGAATGCGTGAGGGCGGCAGTGTATGTCAGAGTTGCAGTGTGTGTGTGGGGCAGTGTGTGTGAGGGTGGCAGTGTGTGTATGGGGAGGGCACTTTATGTATGGGGGCAGTGTGTGTGTGGGGAGGCAGCAGTGTGTGTAGGGCACTGTATGTGTCTGTGTGTGTATGGGTGAGCAGTGTGTGAATGGGGGGCAGTGCATGTATGGGGCAGTGTATGTGTGTGTGGGGGCAGTGTATGTGTGTGTGGGGGGCAGTGTATGTGTGTGGGGGCAGTGTGGGGTGTGTATGGGGGGGTAATGTGCGTGTGTATGGGGGCAGTGTATGTGTGTTTGGTGTATGTGTGTATGGGGGCAGTGTATGTGTGTATTGGGGCAGTGTATGTGTGTATTGGGGGCACTGTATGTGTGTATTGGGGCAGTGTATTTGTGTTTGGGGGGCAGTGTATGTGTGTATGGGGGCAGTGTGTGTATGGGGGCAGTGTATGTGTGTTTGGGGGCAGCGTATGTGTGTATGGGGGCAGTGTATGTGTGGGGGCAGTGTATGTGTGTATGGGGGGCAGTGTATGTATGGGGCAGTGTATGTGTGGGGGGCAGTGTATGTGTGTTTGGGGGGCAGTGTATGTGTGTAATAATACTTATTAAAAGTATTTAATAAAATATATTGATGTCCCCCCTCCCTTCTTACCTTTGTTGAGGAGGAGGGGGGACATTTCTCCGTCCCTGGTGGTCCGTGGTGAATCCCTGGTGGTCCAGTGTGGAGTGAAGTCTAGACCGCGCTCCAGGGCTAGACTTCACTATCACTCTCTCCCGCCCCCGCCGGCTGTCAGCAATGTGCCTGTGGACCGGGGAGGGGAGAATCTCGGGGGTGGGGCAATTGCCCCGTTGCCCCCTGTGGATCCGCCAATGGTCACAACCATCTCATCTCAACCTATGAGACTTGCTAACACCTGCTGGAGCATCACTTACCATAATCTGGAGGCCAAATACTGCCATCTCCCAGGAGATATCCCAGTGGCCATTGCAACTCTGAAGAACTAGTGGAGGTGTAAAAAAATCAGAAATTGTGGATTACCTGCCTATGCACAAGCCTACAAGGTGCTGGGCTAGCTACCTGCCTGCTGGCTTACTCTTTGTCAGCAGGCATCTCCAACTGCTATTTTAATCCATGGATGAACGTTGTTAGACTCCAGCTAGCAAAGCTCATTTGCTAATAGCCTGTTTGGAAATCCCCCTTACCAGCCCTTCCATGGAGTAGTCCTGATAGATGTAGAAGTTAGACTCACTGGGTCACATTGGCACTTTACAAAAGAAATTCTGTTGACCTCCCTGACAAGCTGAACTTGAAAATGTGGGCTCATCATTACCTAGCTTGGTAGCCAAATCTCAAAGACTAATGAATTGACCCCATCACACTATGCTATATGTACAGCTCTTAAATCTTCATACAAATATCTGTATACATTACTGTCATTTCTTTCTAAAATATATCAAATGAAATCAAAATGTTAAAAAAATACCACAATAACTTCATCACGACTAAAAATATCAAGGGCTGACATTTTAACGTCTTGTTTAAACAATTTTAGGATAAAGTAGATTTGAAAAAAATGTTTAAGACATATGGTTGCTATAAAGGTCTAACATTGTATATGCCAGTATGATTGTTTTTCTTTTGCGAAGCAATCAGTCATTAGCTTTGCAGGGGTTAGAACATACTGACCAATCAGGCCTCTTTATTACAAACAATGCCATGTATCCATTTAACACCACATCTGTTTAAACACATTGATAGTTCTGCAAAATATTCTCTAAAGGAAAACTTTAATGAAGAACGTATTTCCTCTGAGGCTTACATAGTGTGCTATGTTGTATATAGAATATTTATTCCTGACATATGAATAATGCTTGCTTCGTTGCTGCCTTGAGTGCCCCCTATAGATTTTTAACACTTATGTGCAACTCCCAAGGGTAATACAGTCACATACGTCCTGTATTAATTATCCTTGATATCAAGATTGTAAGATTTATTTAGCAGATGGGATGAGATTAAAAGTGACTTATCTAGAAATCAATAATGCAAGTAACCCAGAGATTAAAGCACGCCATTATACAAAATGTGCTAGTGTTCTGAGACAGAAATATATTAAATATTAAATCTTTTATATAAATCTATGAAACATTTTGTAAAATGTACAAACAAAAACACAGACCAAAAACAGCAACTTGGCTGTGATCATATGAACTCTAAATATCATATGAATTATTATTTAATTATGAAAGTACAAAGGAAACACTTTCATTCTACGGTAATGTGGTGTTCTTCCTACATCTACTCCCTGTGCATTATATAATTTCAGTGTGATATTTAAAAGATGATTCTACCATGCCAATTTTGCTAGTAATTCACTGAGCAGTGAGCTCAAATCATCGCAGTTGCAACTGTTGGTGCTACATGTATGGCTCCCCACCGTATTCTATGAAGATGATTAATATGACCATTTAAATCCCCAACACCAATTATTTTAATTTAAATTATAACATTCAGATCTGCATCGTGTTGATGCATGGTAGTGAATACACTTCACACCCAATGGCATCAATTTGAAATGTCTTTCTAATTTTCTTCTTTCTTTAAACACCCAAAGCTAATATGCAGGTAACTCATTAAATACCTATTTTCAGTAAAACAAACAAAACAAAAATCAGGAAAAGGACAGATTTGCAGCAGAAAATTAGACCAAAGTTCTTCATAGACCAAAATTTGGAAAAAGCATTCTGAAAAATGTATATCGTTTAAATCATTGCATATAGATTGGAGGATTTTTTTTGTTTGTTTTTTTTTAAAAACAATGAATTTGTTTCAACATTTATATGACAATTGAATAGAATGCACGTATCTGTGGAGCTATCTTTTTTCTGTTTTAATATTGATTTAACCCGTTGCACATATATACACCATAGTAAGATACCAACGTTGGGCAAATAAAACATAAACAAAGGCAGTATTAATTTACTTTAACAAATTAAAGTTGAACTTTATAACTGAACACTGTGGAAATTTAAAAGGACATCATTATACAAGTAAGTAAGGAACACTTCTTTATTTCAAATATCAATATGCCCATGGGATCTAAACTTCTTCAGCTTCCATTTCATATATGGCTATGGGCAAGATATTTTGAAAGGAACTTAAAACGTCAGCAGTGTCTCATCATTTGTAAAGTTCTCTGGTTAAGAGCCTTATTTGCAAACTGGGAAATTAAAACAATACTTATTTTTCTGGAATAATAGAAAATGGTGGGAATTGGGTGTTAAGAGAAATTGCGTCTCTACAAGAGGGACACAAGAGGTATAGTAAGGATATATTAATGATTTAGTAAAAAAGTCTATTTATTTTGGAAACTCTGGAATTTTCCCTCAAACTAGGAGTCTCTGGGAAAGTTCTGGTAAGCTCCTGTATTGTTTCTCTAATATTAAAACGTTTCTGTTTTACTGCAACAGACCGTTTTTAGTTTATCGTTACAACATTCATGTCTACACAAGCAAATAACGCCACTAGACTCAACATAGTTGTCTACATATACAAGGATAGATCAAGTTTGTTATGCTATCGTATGATATCTGGTTTAAAGAAAGAGGGCTTACAGTGTCCTGTTCAAGTTTAAATTTGCAAGCGTCCCTTTAAATGAAATAGAAATAGGGTTCACTTACAGAGACGACCCCATATTTGTAAAATGACTAGGAAATAATGGAAATAATATACAATACTGGATTTACACAAACTGTTCTCTTCTGGCTGCTATGAACTGCAAGTCCTATTCAGTATTTTGCCTTTGGCTGCCAATCTGTGCTTGGAGTGTCCGTGGTCAGAAATCATTAGTCCTTATTTGCACACGCTTTTTATTGCTCTTACAAAAAGAGTTACAAAAGAGGCATGTAATGCATTTCTGTCCACAACAAACATAATCTAATCTAAAACAGAAAAAAATAATAATTAACTTAACCATCTCCATGGGTCTAGAACTCTGTTATGCAACTTGAAAGAATATCTTTAATGTGTACTTGTATTTCAATGTATTTATTTATTTATTTTATTTTTTAGATCTTCAAGGATTACATGCAGCTTGCTTGATGTGAAGAATCCTCAAATTGTAAGTTAAAAGCATTTTGTTGACTTTTTATAGTAATAGAATTCTACATTACCGATGCTAAGTGCTTTAATCTCATTTAGACTCTTTGGATGTCTTCAATGATGTATGACATAGAAGCGAAAACTATTAAAAACGTCTGCTTTCATAAAGATACATAAAGAAACAAAATCTGTCGTAGAACCCTGAAGATAAAGCAGGTCATTTGGTAGTTTGATTCATTGAAAAGAAGAGATAATATTAGATATAGTACACATGTACTTTTATTCAGCATGCGGATGTATGTGCTAACTCAGCTTACAGATAGAGTAGTCGACACGATTCCATGTGCATTTCAATGTGAGGAAACCATCTCTGAGCTAACAGCAGTTTTTAAGCATTAGATGGAACAGGGTTTTTTACTTGCTCTTTACGTTTTTGTGGTCAGAATATGGATGTTTGTCCCCTTCTGTGGTTACCATGGCAGTAGGTTTTCTGGTACCTGGGAAAGAAATAGCTGTTTTGTATTCTGAGGAACCAAAGGATCTAATATCCAGCGAACCGAGGTGAGTGCCAGCCAAACTTGAACAGTTGGACAATAGTAGCTAAGTTGGAACGACAGCTGAGTCGGAAACCAATTTTGGATGCCAAATTAGCAGTTTACTTATCAATTTGCCAGAGTAAGTAATTCCCCTTGAAACCAAGGAAGGCAACATTCTCAAGGAGTATGAGAATAATTGATGTCTACCGACCTGGTCAGCTACTTAAGGTGGGGAGCCACATACCATTCAGTTATTTGGTATTTGGACGCTGTTAAAACGGAATACAATAGTGTCAATAATACAAATGTGTATTCCTATTGCAATAGTGCCTTGTTTGCATTTTAGGTTTGTCCTCCTTCCCCTATCCGTAGGAAAAAAAATAGTTTTACTTAACTTAATTTCCCTCGTAGTGCTGTGCCACCATCTCGAATCCATTGCTAAGTTCACCAAGGCTGATAATAATCTCTGCCAATCCAAAAATTTGGCAGGCTAGTGTGGTTGCACAACAAAACGCTGCCTTCGTCAGTCAGATGGTCTCCACTCCCTTTCTCTTCTCTTACCATTTTAACAAACACAAAATAGCAACCCTCGTCTATAATATTCTCTCCCCATTGTACCTACCTCTATTTGATGCAAGAACAATGCAATGAATTAACATTTATCCAGCTCCTCATATTAGGAAGCAGGTTGAAGAATGAATCTAGAGATCTCTGCCCCTGGAGATAAAAAAAAAATTGATGGACAATCATGGGCCAGTTCAGGAGATCTTCATATGGCAAACTTTGTGCTAACAAAGCATGCCATAGCTAGGTTATTTGGCCTTGGGAGACTCATATTTTATCAATGATTCCTTCGGAATATGTTACTGTTGACTGAGGGGATTTATTTTAAATATATATAACTATATTTAGCTTCCCTTAATGATAGAGTGAATGTGCATGTGTGCGTGTGTATATATTTATTTGACTATTTTTGGCTTTAAAATGTAAATTCACTTTGAGTTAACGTTTAAATTCTTTATTGAATAAACCTGACAGTGTAGCAAAAAATATAATGTATTAATTCCTTCTTATAAAATATTCTAAGATTATTGTTTTTATTACTAACTAACATTACCAACATATTCTGTAGCGCTGTACAATTGGGGATAGCGGGGAGACAGTGCATTATACAAAGACCAAAACAAAAGATAAAGATGGTCCTGTGCAGAGATCAGGCCATTGAGGCTCTTCTATACAAAGTGCCTAGTTAGATAGCATCATACATATTCAGCTGTTTATCAATGCATATGACCTCAACACAACCTTTGAAATATCCCTGTCACCATCTGGAAGGTTAAGATATGAAAATGTAAATATTGAGATTAAAGACCTGATAGTTTTATGTCTTCTTTTTGGCTTAATGTATCTGTCAGAGTAGAAGATACATTTGCACATCTGATTTTTATCACTGATATTGTAGGACACTAATAGAGGCTACAACAATAAACAGAAGGCATTTGTATTTCAGGAAAGGAGAATGATGTGACAGGTTTTGGAGTGATGCCTTAAACTGCCACCTGGCAGCCGTGGTCCTGAATCTGTGTCCTGACTTTAACCTTTAGAGCATGAGAGCATGACCTCAAAAACTGTCACATTTGACCTAAACCATCGGAGCTCAAAGGTTATTTTTCTAGGAAGGGTGAATTTTTGGTCTGCACTGAAGAGGGTCAAAAAAGCAACCACTAATGTTCATTCCTTTGTATATAGAAATATATATGTGATTCATGCCAGACATTTGTGTGCCCTCATTTAAAAAAAGCTATTATTGTGGTTCAGATGTTTCTTTGTTTTGTATTGTTTTCCTTAATCACGGTTTTTGCAGTTTTAAAGAGTTAAAGCTGTTTTCGCTGACTCTGAGCAACAGATATATTTTTTTATAAATATGGAGATTATTGGCATTCTTATTATTTTTTGTAAATCTAACGAGATAACAGGGCTGGTTGAAAAAAATAACTCTCTGCTAAAGGAGCAGTGGGGAAAAGACAAAAAAAAAAACTATTAAAAAAATAAATAAAATGTTTTAATAAGAAATAATAAGAGTAAAAATAAGAAAATGTGCAATCTTTGTGGATTGTGGATTGTGTTGTGAAAGCATTCCACGGCACGGATCAAAGAGCAAATATAACATTAATATATCTTATTCTGTGAATCTTGACACCCACACATATTTGGATGTCAATCACAACTATGATAGAAATTTTAGCCATGACTACTTTATACTCTGGGAGTGATGGTGATCTTTATTCTGAAAAAATGCGTTGGGCTTTTCTATTTTTTTTTTAAAGCTGTTAGATTCTCTTTATGTAGTGTATAATGTATGGATTAGAGTTCTGTAGACTACTGTTTTCTTAAATATTTTACATTTCATTTAATACCAGCCTATTTGTAATTTCACTCCCAGTGAGACAGATTCCATTTGCTCTACCAGAGTACAACTGTAGGTGACATCATCTTCTTTCTCCAAGAAATCTTAAACAGCCACTATGCAAATACATGGCTTTGATTATCTAATTTAAAACAAATAAAAAACACATGAATGAGGTACAACACATGTTAACTTGGGTTGGTTGTACATATTTCAGTAAAAATCCAAATGATCAGATTTCAATCCTACCAGTTACTTCAAAATGTGTCCTGTAGGTCATGTATCTTCTGTATCCACCAAAGAGTCCAGGACAGTTCCTGATCTAGTAAAGTCCAGGAAAAGTACATGTGTACATCTTAAAAACATATGCGAATAATTTAGTGCTGTAACTTCACTCTCTTTGAGACAATCATCAAGAAGCAATCAGCTGTATACTTTCAAAATACATATGCAGCAGCATTTTCCTATCAAGATGATTAGCAGTCACTTGCATAAGCACATTCAAGCAGATTCTGCTCCTGGAAATATACGTGAATGGCCGTACTCAGGGCCAGCCTTAGGCCATTAGGTGCCCTGTGCGAAAAGTCTTCACGGTGCCCCCCACCCCCTCCATCCTCCCCAGTCATGCACCTTTATCCATATATGTGTGTGTTTATAGGTGTGTAGGTTTGTATAGGTGATTTATTAAATTAATAATGATTTAAAACCAGATATTAATTCCCCTTTCCTGATGTTAACATGCAGTGAGGGGGGAATGTAGATCTCTGGTGTTTCAGTGTGCTGCAAATCTGGTCTGCCCCTTCAACGGGTGCAGAGTATAAGTAACTGTCTCATTAGAGAAGTGCAGGCCAGAGATGGCAGACTGCCTCCTCTGCATTACACAGGGGCAGATTAAGAATGTCACATAATACTGTGACACACAGTTAGTCAGACACGCTCAGTTACAGTCAGACAGTCAGAGACACTCAGTTACAGGCAGACAGTCACACATGCTCAGTTACAGGCAGACAGTCACAGAAACAAAAACACACAGTTACAGGCACACAATCATGAACAGTTACAGGCACACAGTCACACACACAGTTACCAGCAGACAGTCACACACACAGTCACAAGCAGACAGTCACACATACTTCTGTTACAAGCAGATAGTCACACACACTTGGTTACAGGCAGGCAGACACTCACGCACCCACTCCGTTAAAGGCAGTCACACACACAGTTGCAGTCACACATACAGGCACAGGCACACACAAAGGCACAGTGACAAACACAGTTACAGTCACACACAGTTACAGTCACACACAGGAAGACAGTCACACACACAGGCAAACAGTCACAAACACACAGGCAGACAGTCACACACAGACAGGCAGTCTGGATGTACTTACTCCTCCAGTGAATAGGAACAAGCCAGTGATATATATTCTGTTGGAATAAGCAAGGTACCACTGAATCCCTTTGGACTATCATTGGGCATACATTAGATAAATCTTGGGTGAAATGGTTACCACTGGGTCCCAGGCATTTGCCGGAGGATAAACATAATCCAAGGTAACTACCCTTTTTTAAATGTAATTTACCAAATTATTTTGAAGTGTATATCATAATAAAGTTTTGTCTTGGTAATAAATGTAAGAAAGGGTGGTATATGATAACATCCATCCCAGAGTATTTATTTTAACAGCTGTTTATCATGGTTTACCAAAGATATCAGTTGATGCACTAATCCATAATCTTCTCAATTTTGAAGACAAAAAGATGGCTTCATCCTGATTGGCAAACACTTACGTTCTTTGTTATTACATTACTCATTAAACAACATCTAGATGCCAACCAAGATGTAGGGATGGTATGTGGACCTCCACTTATAAAAGTGGACAAGCTTGGCAGATGTCTATTAGTCATATTCCTTTGTTTGTCTCTCTGCTTGGGTCCAAAGAGACATATCCATTCCACAGAAACTGCAGTGAAATGACAAAGATGACATTGGGAAATGTTTTCTCATTTAGCTAAATTAACTTTATCATATTCAGCAATGAATACCGCTAGCAGCTTACTTCAACATGTGGTAAGTATCAGGGCAGTCTTACATAAACAGTTTTTAATCCAAAAATGTGGCTTCCTCAGCAGATACAAAGTTCCCAGTCAGCTGCTCATGTGATTTCCCAAAAATTTTGCGACAAGTTTCATTCTATCCTGGGCTTCTTTAGATGTGGCAAATATTGAGTATTAATAAAAATAAAAAAACAAACAAAATGCCAACTGGGAAGAACAAATATTTCTGATGCATTCAAAGGCTTACACATCATTAACAACCATAATAATATATTTTCCAGTCCTTCTGGAAGACGGGTAAAATCTTTACAGTTGAACTTTAACATTTATGCTGTTTTCACAATCCTGGTTACTAAGAATTTAAGAACAAAACAGTTTGTTAAAATTTCTCAGCACTGTGACTAATAGTCTATATTCTTAATAATGTATATTACAAGCTTGGGTATATTTTTAGAATAAATTTCTACCTGCTCACTCATCAATTGGTTCTACAAGTTTCATTCTAATCACCTGCTGATATTACCAACAACAGAATGTGGTATTTTTACATTAACCAATCCACCTCCTTTTAGCTCCTGGGCATGTGGTTCCACAGATCATTTTCTTTTCAATTTTTTTTCTTCCTTGTAGTTGTTTTGAGTCAGTATGAGATTACTTCCTCCCCATTTCTAACCAGCAGGGGGGCTCATGTCTCCTTGTTTTGAAGCAGTGGGATATTCATTCTTCCCTGTTTACAACCAGCAGGTCCATTTTTGTCTACCTTATTGCTTGCTTTTAAAATCAATGTGAAATGGAGGGTGGAATGATTTTGAATTTGGAAACAATCTTAATTAAATGTTTTATATACTGAAACAAGCAGATTTGCTTTGTGAATTCATGCTGTAGACCTTATCTCTAGAAGGCTTAGACAAATATTTATCTAAGAACAAAAGAGGTCCAAGGATGACTTACAATTAACTTGATTATTTAGTTTCCCGGAAGAGGCTTTTAACAATGTTAGATAATTACTAGAGTTCCCATTGTGGAAACAATTCCTCTTCTTTGACAAAATGTGACTATCCTATTATGTAAACTATATGATGGAATAGGTGTCTAACCAAAGATAACATTTTATACATGCACAAACTACAGACAGTTTCATTGTCATGTTTTAGGGAAGAACTTTGACATTTGCATTGGTGGTAGTACTATTTTATCGTAACATTAACTTGGTTAATGTGTGCAGTGGAGGTATGTTCAAATACAATTGCTTCTTCTGCTGCAGTATCTTTCTCCCATGTACACAGGGGATCAGTGATTTGCATGAAATGCCAGCCTATGCCAGGATAAGTATGTGCTGGATGCAAATACAAAAACAACTAACAGTACAACCACCTATATACAAATGTTATTTTAAGGAAAATGGGGCAATGAAAAACAGGAAGGGAGTAATAAAAGGACATAGCAAATTAGGCAAAAGAAAACTTCAAGGACCATACCCACTACAGTGCACTGAAAATGCATATTTGACAACTTACCTGGGGTCCGCCAGGCACCAGTTGCCTCTTCTTCTGCAGCCCAGAAACTACAGCCCAGAGATAAGACTGGCAATGCAGTACTTAGCTCATTGGCTGAGAGAGCTTGTCTGTTTGCAAATGGTTTGGCTACTTACTCTGGGAGGGCACCAGACTCTCCTGAAACAATAACCACTAAGGTGCTCTGTAGTGGTTATGGTGTTTGGAGTGTTCTTTTTAATCAGACAATATCACGCCGAGATAACAAAATATAACTAGGAGAGACAATATCATAGACAAATAGAGCAAAGTTGCACAAGTATATATATTATATATACATATATATATACACTTGCGCAACTTTGTATACATATATATATATATGTATATATATATATATATATATATATATATATACAGTTACAATTCCCCTCCCTGTACAGGTGCTCTGCCTGCAAGGGGAAGATTTTCATGTCTGTTGTCACCGTACAGTGCATGCTGACAGCAAACATAATTTATGCACAGAATTTACATTAGGCAGCATGGAACAGTGTTCTTGGCACACAATTACTAGTATCTCTCTATCTGCAGTGAGTAAACCTGTAAAACTGCAAATTCTGACTCCTACCATCAAGACCACTTCAAATAACTGAACTGGTCATGGTGGTTGGAATAAACCTTTAAATAAAACAATTTAGAAAAAAACATACAGATAAAAATACGTTTAGGTTGATAAAATAATACTTTGCAGTTATGGTATATAATAGCCATAGGTTTTTCAAAATTTATGATTAAGCCACAAGTCTAAAACCTGTATTGATTTGATAGTCCTTTTAAAAAAAAATTCTAACTGTACAAAAATTGTATTTTGTAAGTGTACATTATGTCCTAAAATGATACATTTGCATTGTTGGACTTTTTTACATTTTATTTTACACGTGTGCAACATCTTTGTAAAAAGGAAGACAATGCCGGAATATGGATCTGAATATTACAAAAATATTACATACAATAAATTAATGATATAATGCTGTTTATAGTTTTAACTAATGCATTACAGGTTTGTACACATATTTATTTTCTGGTTTTTAAGAGCTTCGTGATTTTTTTTCCAAATATAAAATATCGCTTAATACACGCCTTATAAAAAGTTCAAAATAATTGAAACAGTAATAGTAAAAAAAAAAGAATCAATATTTTAAATAAATTAAAATGATGTTGTAAAAGGCAAATCCAAAATTAATCAATAAAACAGATGTTTTCTCCTGTACGCTTTCCCTTACTTAATCCCCAAAGTTCTTTTTTAATTAAATGAAAAACATTTGACTAGAATAAATTTTTTTTTTTTTTTTTTAATAATATATATATTTTCTTGCCCTCTATCTAGGATGTCCATATATATGTAAATATATATCACATTCTATTGCATAACATAAATATTTAACATTGGAAGATTTGTTTAAAAAAAATATGGGTGTAACAAACACAACAGTGTCTTGATATAATGCAGCCACATACATTCGAATTTAAACTATTTAAAGGCATGTTAAATATATGCATATGGAAGGCTATAGTTAATCCAATGTGAATTCAGGGATTAGTATAGGGAGTATTTAAAAGCTAATATTAACCAGACATACAATTCAGTGCCATGCTTATTTGTAAAAGCTTCCAAATGCTCCCAAAATATGGTCCCTATATGCTTTGCCCTATCTTTAAAAATAAAAAAAAACCTTTAAAAAACAAGTATTTAATTAGATTTGTTTCTAATATTGTTGTATTGTTTATTGTCATTTCAATCTCCTTAGAGCAGAGGTGCCCAAGAGGTAGAGCCCCAGATGTTTTAAAGCTACAGCTTTGTCTTTCCAAAGGCACACAAAGCATCATGGGAGTTGTAGTTATACGACATCTGGGGATCTACCTTTTGGGCACCCCTGCCTTAGAGGATATGTATCAGCATGGTATTAGTAAAAGCTCTATACATATATACCTACGTGGCTATTAAACCTCGACCAGCATACTAGTTGGCGCCCAGTGCTTGTGTATGCCATATAAATATATTCCAAGCTTACCTGCTAAGATGCATATTGTATTTCTCAGACAACATAACAAGATGGCCCTATAAAAGCCCTTATCCACCAGTATGTTGTATACTCAATGGAATTTGTTCTCTGCCAGAGCTGATTGGCATTACAGTCACCATATGAGATTTTTTTTATACCTCCCAACTTTTCAGATGGACAAAGAGAGACTTTGATTTTTAGGGGGTGTTAGTGGGGGCGTGTCCTGAGGGTCTGTTTTAAGCAATTTTAGGAAACTTTCTAAGTAATTTTTTTTATATATGTATAATTTTTACTGAACAAAACAGGCAAGTGTAAATACATGAAAGTAAGAGAATATTACAACATTAGACAGGTTTAAATGACACATACTTGACAACAAGGTACAATTCAAAGGCTGGTTGTAAAGAGATTGATTAAGGCGATAAATCTCTACATAATGTTCCACAAGGTGACGGAAATAGAATGTCAAGACAACCGCTAGTTAACATGCTACGGGAAGTCAAGTGGAAGATGAACAAAAATTAATGGAGTGAGAGAAATGAAAAAAAAGAAATGGGAGTTATGTGGAGAGTAAGAGCAGTAAGAGAAGAACATGAGTCAAAAAGCAATCGTTGTGTGGTTATGAAGAGGTGTACTTCACTCCAGAAGCCATTCACGCTACGTATCTGAGAATCTGCGTAGGTTAATAACCTGAAAGACATTTCTTGATATGTCCTGGTGATTTTAAGTCTGGAAAGGACTGCATGGATTTTTGGAGGCTATATGGATTTCCACCCGTGACCTATAGCGGTGGTGGCAGCTCTTAATGAAGTATAACAGAAGAGCTTTCTTTTGACCTTATATCTGAGAATCAAACATATTGAGTAAGAAGACTTCAGATGACATTTGGAGGGAATAGCTTGTTAATTAATTTATAGGGTTTGTACCTTTCCCCAAAAGTTTGTAAGGCGTGGAGCATTGTACTTGGGGATATTTACATCTATAACTTTGCAGGTCTGCAGAGGGATACACAGCCACCAATCTGTGAGGTGCTAGATACCATCTCATTTGTATCTTACTGTTAGTTTCCCAATGACCTAGACATCTTGAGGCATGCTGCATGTGATTAAAGCTCTAGACCACTTTATAAAATGAATTGGTTTATTAAGGCCAAGTTGCCTGTTTATATATTCAGACCACCAGCATGGAGTCTCCATTCACTACAATAGTAAGCCCGCCCAGGCGTCTCTCTGTCTGGGAGATAAGTGAGTTTGTTTTTGCTAATTATCTCCCAGGCACTAGAAGTAAAATACAAAACATAAAAACACCCCAAAATACACACAAGTATTATATCCCCTTATAGCTCGGATTGAAGTGCCCAAGTTGTCCAATTAGTGCTCCAATCCATGTAGTGTAGCCGAATCACCACTGGGGTAAAGTTTTGACCAACTGTACATGTGGCTGTTGCCCAAAATAGTTCCACAGAAAAGGAGGTAGCAGTCAGTCAACTTTCGGGAGTTCCTATACAAAAACAAATGAAGATTCCCCCTGGCTCGTAGGGAGCAAATGTTCTCTCAGTTCAGGAGTGTCTGTCAAACAAAAAGCGCTATCCTGGCTTGTTTGAGAACAGAGTAGGTAGTGGTACGATTTTCCCCGAGGTTTGCGAGGTCAGGTATTCGAACTGGAGTTCCACGTACTCAAAGACAAAGTACCGCTGCCTGCGTTCAGCAGACAAAATGTCCGCCATGTCCTGCAGCACGTGTTTAAGATTATTTGAATGGCGGCCACCCAGAGAGAGTACTTAAGTTTGTGGTTTCTTTGTAGTTAACGAGCCAGGGGAGTGGTTGGTGTTTGGTAGTTTGCAAGTACTGAACCAGGGAAAAGCATGTTGGGTAAGGTAAAACTGTTAAGCGAAATAGGGGAGCTCTTCCAAATTGATTGTTAATAGTGAGTTCATCACAGTAGCCTTTAGTTTGTTAAGAAGATTGTGATGGTTTATTCTGGATGTAAAAATGAAAATCCAGCGCTCTCCCTTATCTACTAAACAGCTACTTTGGTGCTGACAGATTTTTCTAATTTTATTAAAAACACCTAATCTAGGCAAAAAATTATGGGGATTTAGTTACATTATATGATCATACATTGCATAAGCCTGCCACAACGTCAATGTACCCCATCTTTGGCAGGTCCTACTCTAACAACCAACTGTCTACTAAATGAGCTACTCACTTGGGGAAATCCTTCCATCTCCAGTTCTCTGCAGTACAAGGCTAAATAGGGTCCTGAGATGAGGCACCTGTAACAGGGAGGGGTGCAAAACCAAGGTGCTGGCTGGACTCCTAAATATATATGGGAAAACAAGGGGCTGGCTGCACTCACCTGAACATGCTTAAATGGGGTGCTACTAGGGGCCAATAAGTACAGTAAAAATGAAAATCCAGCACACTCCCTTATCTACTAAACAGCTACTTAAATAATGGGGGTTTAGTTACATTATATGATCATACATTGCATAAGCCTGCCACAACATCAATGTACCCCATCTTTGGCAGGTCCTACTCTAACAACCAACTGTCTACTAAATAAGCTACTCACTTGGGGAGATCATTCCATCTTGAGTTCTCTGCAGTACAAGGATTATTCCGGATTTAACATGTGTGGACTTGTTGGATAACAAGGGATGTTAAGGAAGTAGTCTTCCAATCAAAGGTAAAGCTCTTTTTAAGGGCTTCTATAGAAACATGCAGGATATAGATAGCCAGATAGGGCCTATCTGTATCCTGTATGTCAAATGGTTGTTTTCATAGAATGAAACATCACTGTAATCCTTCAGGAGTTTCATCAGCTCTGGGAGAGATTGTATGGGGTTGGTTATGCTTAACAGGAAGTCATCTGCAAACAAGGCTAATTTATTAGTCATGAAGGTTGTTCCCATTATCAGATTATTTGATCTTGTATAACAGTGTTTCTAGGGCAAGAATAAAAATAGGGGGATAGAGGGCTACCTTGCATAGTGCCATCGTGGAGCCTAAAGGATTGTGATAGGAAGCCTGAATTACATTTTTTTTGCGGAAGGAAATTAATTTTTGGGTAACTGACACATAATTGTGCATACTGCTTCGTCTGCGAATTGAGTTGTAAGTAAAGCTTTTTGTGTGGTGGTTAGATTTGTAAGCAAAACTTCTGTCAGAAATTCAGAGAGAGTATGTTTATTCGGTTGGGTGGAGTTTTGGTCTCAGTGCAGGTTGCATAGAGCGTCTAAGCTCTACACCAATCTTTCAACATCCACTTTGTCAAGGAGAAGGGAATTTGTTGAAGTGACAAAATGTCTCTGGAATCATGTAGTCTCCTACCGTTGGGGCTACCCTACTAAATTGCTAGTCTGGAGGAACACAGTCCTACACACGCTAAACAGCACAGTAGAGAGAAGAGAGGCCATGAGAGCTTGGAAAACTCCAAGGGGATCTCCATCTTCATCAAATTCCCTGCCAAAGAAATTGGCTGCTGAGTGGTTATCCACATCCTCACCCCTCAAGGATATGCCCAACTCTCAGAGCGGAGCGGTCATCATTCACCCGTGAAGTCCTGATATGGAGGAAAGCTTGAACTGGTCATTAACCTCTTCCTACCTTTTATGAGAACACCTTGTAATTCAGCGTTCAACATAACCTCAAGATGGTGAAAGGATGGTGAAGGTCTGTCGCTACCACAAGAAAGGATCCTGGGACTGCTACGTAATCACCAATCTGGGTGAAGCTATCTTTTGCTTTTTTCTATCTTTTTCTTTTACTTTATACTATCTTATTTTATTTACTTTGCTCCAGGAAACTTATTACTGTTCTATTACTTTGAAGCTGCCTGGGAAGGGTGTGGAGAGCTTAATTTACCCGTTAAGCAACTCTCCACACCATGCCAGGATATTGCTATCTCACAAAAGTAGATACCTACATTTTTACACAAATTTATAAAGAAACAAAAATAAGAGAGAAAATAAATTGTATTTTTAATTATTGTTTTAATTTTAGTAATTTTGCTAGTTTATTGATAGAGTTTGGAAAAGTGGATCTTGAGAGCAGAGAGGAGCAAATCACATTTGTATTACTATATTCATAAGCTAATGCACATGTGTTTGCTCCCCAAAGCAAGCCTACAAGGAAGTTTTTCTTTAGCAGTGTCTGTGTGGACATGAATCTAATCCATAGGCATGCTATTATTATTTATATTATGTTAGCAGTAATGTTTCTTGTTTGACTGCATTGAGGTAACATCACAAAACACCACACCCGAGAGGCCACTGATGCTCAGGACAACAGAGGGGCAAATACATTGAAGCTGAAGAAATATACCACGGGTCATCCAATATGGTGGAGACCACGTTTGTTTCTCATCCCAGCTCTGCACAAGTTACACTTGGAGGCAAGCTAAACGCAATATTTGCCGACTTCTGAAGGCAGTTTGAGGGACAGGCCAGTAAACACCAGCAACAATGTCCAATCTCAGCAAAACAGCATCAGTCAACTTGGTGATTCCTGCAGCGTAGCATTCTTGGTGGCAGAACGCGGCTCCAGGCCTGTGGCGAACCCAGAGGCGTCAGAGACACATAATTTGCTGCACAAAACCTGAAGCCAGATGCAATTCACTCTCAAAACACCTCCAATGGTGGACTTTTATTGCCCTACAAGAGAGCCCTTTGAGGCTAAAGCTGCGCCTGCCTCCATGCTCCACTATGGCACTATTACAGCCTACATCTGGGCCCCCAAGAAAGATGACTGTCTTGCATGCACCAACAGTCTGTGGATCACTTAGTGTCTTGGCTGAATCAGACCTGGGACTTTTGCCGGCTGGCAACAATCCTCTTCTGAGGTTCTCATGCTACCTGATTCCAGTTCATGATTACTTTTACAGCTAATACACATTGCATAATCTTTGCTTACAATTTTTTTTAGTTAGCTACCGTTAGTTAGACATATTGTGTTTGTGTAACTTAAAAGTTGAATATTACTTGGTGGTCCTCCTGGATGTTATAGCTTTATAATTCCTGTGTCTTAGTTACACTTAGACATGTTTAACTCCTTATTATAACCAAAAATTGTGATATTAAATTGCATTCCATTTTTTTATATTGTATTGTGTATTATTACTTGTCTTGTGTTTGCTGTCGTGTCATCACAAGCATGTTTGTTTCTCACTGCACTCCAAAAATACAGTATGCAAAAAAACAAAACAATATTAAGTATAATGTAATATAAGTATTATAGCTGTCGAACTCTGTTATACACTCAAATACACCTACAATATAGAGCGTCAAGAAAAGAGGGACATTAGGATAAAAAAAAGGAGGGACAGAGGGATTTGTCCAATAATAAGGACTCCTAAATTGTGAAATTTGGAAAATATGATGTTATGTAATTTTATTTTTTTAATTAAAAAAACAACAATTAAAGCAGCACTTTGAAAACAGTATGTTTAATAAAATCCTCAAATATTTTTTTTTGTTAATGGAGATAATACAATTCAAACAAAAAGATCAACAAATATAAACAAATATCTAAAATACAAATTAAAAAAAGTAAAAATAGCTAAACTAGTAACACAATCAATTAAAAATCAATTAATCCACATATAGAGATGTTATTTCAAAGACTGTTTTGCATCGGTCAATGCCAAGTGACTTTTGTCTCACCCGGTACATTAGTCATAAGGCCGGTAAATGTCATCAAGTCAACGCAAATGTTTAGAAGAGTTGAATCAAATTAGAGCCAATTTTCCCCTTTAATTTAGTCTTTTATAATGGAGGTGTTAAAAATAAACAAAATGTTCTCTTACTTGCTCTCTCAAATAGTGAGATGAATGATAATTAGCCAACGTCTAGACATGGAGATTACTCTTGAACTGTCCCTAGAGATATGTTGAGAGTTTTCTATAAGAACCGTGTATTTTTTGCTAGGCAGAGATAAGATGTGTTATTTTTTCCAGAGGTACATTTATACAGACAATATCAGCAACTGAAAAATAATGACCTAATATAGAGTCAGTCGGACATAAAGCAGGCAGAACCTCTGAACAAGGTCAAATGGTTGAGGTATCGTCTAGTAGAAAAATATTTGTTAAATGGTTCATGTTTAAAGAAAAACAAAAATAGTTTTAAGAGAGTTAAATGATTCTTTTCTTTTTTTATCAATAAGAATATGCACATCATTTCATAATGTTAATATTTTGATAACCATTTTGCTCAATAGGTTTGTCTTTTTTGTTTGTATTGCTTCAGAGAGTTAGCAATAGCTAGTGTAAGTGCGAAGAAAGCACAATGATCGGGAAATAGTAGGAATAGGCACAGTCAAACAGTGTGAAGGTTCCACGAAGGAAACCAGGAGAGACCCAATGAATTTTTCCTCTTTCTCCAGCCTATACATGGTAGGACAGAGAGTAATATTAAATAAGGCCCATCCTCTTAAAATATTTACAACTAGTGTAGATGTCGGTGTGGTCCTCTGGGTTCCTGCTCAAAAACCTCTTAATCAGCAAATGAAGAATAAGATCTGCAACACCAAAATGAATTATCTTATCCAGGAGGTTTAAAGTTATTGCAGTGTGTTTACTTTGGGCTGCTTAGTATTTGCACTGTTTCAATTTATGATCTACTTTAGATGGGAATGCAAACCTGAACTTATCTGCTTTGCACTGACATCGTCTTTTTTTTTTTTTTTTTGCATATATCCTTTTTACTGGTTTTGGGTAGTACTCCAGTGCATAATACATTTGCTGGCGCAGCAGCGTATTGACCAAGTGTAGCATATTCAATTTGCAATATACCATGTACAATTATACATCGCTAACCTTTGCATTACATCAGAGCTATGCTATACTTGTGTGTTAGCTTGTTTACTCGGTTACAGTAACAGAAAATTGGGATTTACCCAAATCTGGAGGTAAGTCAGTGATTCCTGCATAAAACAATTCCCATATAAAAAACAACAAATATACCGACTTCAAAACTGTCTGGCTGTAGCTGAGTGCAGAAAAAGAGAGTTCATTTAGCTAGAGTTGGAAACTAGGTGAGTATAAGGATCTAATGTGTAGATTGTGAAAGGAATTCCAAAGTGAGCTAAATGGAAAACCAGTTCTGAGTTGAGCTGGAGATTCTGAGAGCTGAAAAAATAGTTAGTAGAAACTAGCAAGTCACAGGAGCATAACAGATTGGTGTCAGCTCATTATGAGTGCCCAGGTTCAGTGACAGGTTGTTTATTGTCAGTGGACCTGTGAACTTAGGAGAAAGAACAGAATTATTTAAAGAGACAATTAAATTAAAATACATGTTCTGGTCTTGACAGTACCACATATCATTTATTAACAGAGTTACCATATCCACGACATATAATTTTGTCAAGTGTTTGAAAATGTCTAAGAAGGGTTGTCCTGCAATATGTATAATACATATTTTGCAGGATTTCTCATTGCCTAATTAATTAATATAATACATCTTCTTCTCGATTCTACATACTGGGCAACCCTTTTCATGTGCTGCCCATCAATATGTATACATAGAAACATACAATGTGACGGCAGATAAGAACCATTCGGCCCAATTCCCTAAATACTTTAATTAGTCACTGGCCTAATTGTATAACTTGGATAGCCTTATGCCTATTCCACGCATGCTTAAACTCCTTCACTGTGTTAACCTCTACCACTTCATCTGGAAGAGATCCACTACCCTCTCAGTAAAGTAAAACTTCCTCATATTATTTTTAAACCTTTGACTCTCAATTTAAGGCTATTAAATATAGTCTCCATCTTTACTATGTTGATTCCCTTTATGTGTTTAAATGTTTTTATCATATCCCCCTTGTCTCATCTTTCCTCCAAGTTATACATGTTAAGATCCTTCAACCTTTCCTTGTCAGTTTTATCCTACAATCCATGAACCAGTTTTGTAGCCCTTCTCTGAACTCTTTCTAAAGTATCAATATCCTTCTGGAAATACGGTCTGTGTACAATACTCCAAGTGAGGTCTCACCAGTGTTCTGTACAATGGCATGAGCACTTATCTCTTTCTACTGCTAATACCTCTCCCTATACAACCAATCATTCTGCTAGCATCTCCTGCTTCTCTATTACATTGTCTGCCTACCTTTAAGTCATCCAAAATAATTACTTCTAAATTCTTTCCTCAGATGTTGAGGTTAGGACTCTGCCTTTGGGTTTTTACGTCCAAGATGCATTATCTTGCACCTATGCACATTAAATGTCAGCTGCCACAACTCTGATCTTTTCTAGTTTACCTAAATCATTTGCCATTTGGCTTATCCCTCCTGGAACAGCCACCATATTACATATCTTAGTTTCATCAGCAAAAAGACATACCTTATTATCAAGACCTTCTACAATATCACTAAATAAATAAAACTATCAAAGAGAATCAGTCCAAGTACAGATCTCTGAGGTACCCCACTGGCGACAAGACCATACTTCGAATATACTCCATTAACTATAACCTGTCACTCAGCCACTGCCTTACCCATTCAACAATATTGGAATCCGAATTGAAAGATTTGAAGATGCAGTTTATTGATAAGCCTTCTATGTGCAACAGTGTCGAAAGCCTTACTGAAATCTAGGTAAGCAATGTCAACTGCACCACCCTGATCTATTATTATCTATATGTTACCCAATCAAAAAAATCAATAAGATTAATTTGGCATGATCTCCCTGAAGTAAACCCATGTTGTCTCTGATCTTGAAATCCATGTGATTTTAGATATTCAATAATCCTATCCTTTAACATGGTTTCCATTACTTTCCCAACGACTGAAGTAAAGCTTACTGGCCTGTAGTTGCCCAACTCCTCTCTACTACCTTTCCAGTGAATGGGCACAACATTCACTAACTTCCAATCTTCTGGGACTACTCCTGTTAACAAAGATTGGTTAAATAAATCTGTTTTGCTATTACACCACTAAGCTCTTTTAATAACTTTGGGTATATTCCATCAGGTCCCATTAACTTATTTGTTTTTACTTTTGACAGTTGAAATAGAACCTCTTCCACTGTAAACTCACATGTAATAAATGACTAATTTGCCCTTTTTCCTAACTGAGGTCCCTTTCGATCGATCATTTTCATCTGTAAATACTGAACAAAAATATTAATTAAGGCAGTCAAAAAGTGAAGCGTGGGGGGGCGTGGCCAACGGAGCAACAGGCAAGACGATCTTGTGAGGAGCTCCGATACAGAAAACGGGAGAATAAATCACCTAAACGCCTCCCACAGACACAGAGACACCCACCCCTCAACAGATGACCTAATGGGGCGAAAGAACAAAAAAATCCATGCACCTGAGATCCGCAAAATGCCTGATATCAGGCTATCATTTGACAGGCTGGTCCGGCGGGAGGCACCCAAGGTGGCGCCGGAAGCACAGAGTGAAGATGAAGCTTCGGAGGCATCACGGGATGCGGAGCAACCTGTGGAGAATACCCCAGTAAGTTACACCAACAGTGAGTCTGACTCAGATACAGACTCCGCGCCGGCAACAAAAAGGGATCTAAAATGCCTCCTAACCGAGATGAGGCAAATATGGAAGGCGGACCTGCGGGCAACGCAAGCGGAATTAGGCACCCTGGGTAAAAGACTCACAGCGGTTGAATCCAAAGATGGAGAGAGGGAGACACAGTTGCAGACCACTCAGCTGGAGATTCAAGGACTGGCAAAACAGGTCCGAAACCTAACCAAGACTGTGACAGTGCTGGAGTCAAGGCACAGGAGGAAAAACATCCGCATCAGAGGAGTACCGGAGGGGATCACAGGGAATAACCTCCTGCCCTTCCTGCACTGTATGCTGACCCATATGGGAGCAAAAAATGGAGTTGCTGAGGAGATTATAACGACCGCATTCCGTATCCGAAAATCCGCCTCGGCCCCAGCGGAGGCACCCATAGACATTATTGCAGTAACCAAGAACATTGCGGCCAGATCTGCCATCATGTCCCTCTCGAGAGAGCTAAAAAATTTGAACTTTGAGGGTTGCATGGTAGCTATATATGGGGATCTCCCGTTCGCTGTACTAGCGACGAAAAAGCAACTAGGCCCAGTTGCATGTAGACTGCGGGAGGCAGGGGTACGGTATTGGTGGGGAGCAGATGGATCGTTAGTTACACAGAGAGGAGAGGAAACAATAACCTTACCCCCTGACGGTGACCAGGAGACATTTCTTCGGCGCCTTCAAGTGACAGACACAACCCCAAAAAGAGCCCCTAAGACCAAGCATAATGCCCAACGGTGACTCCCCGGCCCGCCACACACCCATAGTCGGGACACAGACCACTAGGCCAGTAGACAGCTGGCAGATGTAAGGCCCCTGAATAAATAAAGGAAGGCCCACACTAGCAAAGCACCACACGACAAGCTACCGCTGTTAGACAATGTAAATAGTTTCGCACAAGCATCTCAACGACCGAGACCCAAAAATAGAGCCACAAATAGACAAAGAATAGAGGGACAATGCCCCACCATAGACCACACGTACAGACAGACCAACATGACAGAGGTCCCCAAGTTGAACCTACTTCTAAACTGTATAATGCCGAGATATATCAATAATTTGTCCTAACCACGCAGTTAATGTTAACGTATTACAGTTGGACCACTGTTGGTACCACATATTACTCACCACAATATGATAAAGTTGTGTGTATCTATGTATGAAAATTCAATAAAATACAAATTTAAAAAAAAAAGTGAAACAAATGCTTAACAACTATTACACTGAATTAAGTCTGCCATTTTAATGAGTTAAGTAATTTAAATCAAACAAATCTTAATTTTTTTTTGTCTTCCTGTATACCTCAGATTACTTCCAGTTTATCTCCAGAATATCTCCAAGCACACACTTAGTAGCAGCAACCAAGCTATATTAGTCAAGCTAATGACCACAACCCTTATATAACTCCTAAAAGCACCACCCATTAGGAATGTTTAACTCCTGGGTGGGCCTATGCTTATTTGCAAACAATAGCTAATTAACCAGCAATCAATAGCAAGTAACTAGCTTAATCAAATCAAATGCCTTACCAATTACCAACAGGAAATCAAACCTTGTGCAATCAGTAACCTTTTCCTACAGATTAATCTTACCTGAAACCGTAAAAATAGAAATCTTAGCACAATCTTAGAAAGTTGAAGAATCAGTAAACTCTACAGAATATCTCCAAGCACACACGTTGAAGCACTTAGAAGTAGCAACCAAGCTATACACATGATATGTGTCCCTGAAAAAAAATGGTGGATCTGGTAACCCTAATTATAAAGACACAATGGTACACCCCTTTGAACCAGGAAATATTTGTGTCCACATTTTCCCAGCTATTGCAACATATTGGGTTGAGGTCAGGTGATTGAGTAGGCCATTGCAGAATATTCCACTTCTTTGCTATGTCCATGTATTCTCCTGCAAAGGATTCTCAATAAAGTATTACAAATTAACATTTCATTTATGATTGTGTTAATGTATCCAATTATATCTGAACCCCTGACATAATGGGAATGTGTATAAAAATGATTGCAGTTCCTAAACATTTCATACAATCTTTTTGTTCAACCCCTTGAATTAAAGCTGAAAGTCTGCACTTCAACTGCATCTCGGTTGTTTCATTTCAAATCCTTTTTGGTGGCGTAAAGAGTCAAATTTATGAAAATGTTGTCATTGTTCAACTATTTCCGGACCTAATTGAAAATTTCTGCTTGTAATATATTGTGTTTGAATCTGTGAGTATTGTGAGTGTATGCAGCTGTATAATTGCGTGAAGGGTTAAAGATAATGGTAGAGGTTATTAGGGTGAAGGGAGGTGCTGATCTCAGAGTTTGATTACACAGGGTGTTAAGAGGATTAAAAGCTTGAGAGAGTTTACAGTTGTGGTATTGGGGTGTTAAGAATTACTGGGTTCATGGTTAAAGTGGGATTAAATTTAGCATTACTCTGAAAAGGCAGTGTTAACACACAAAATAAAAAAACTGCAGGGACAGGTTAAAGATACTATAACCACTACATTAAGTTGTAGTTGTTATGGTGACTATAGTGTTGCTTTAACCCTAGGATTAAGGTAAAGGTTTGTTTTAATGTTTAGGCTTTAAATGCTTAAATCTGGGTCTAAGTAATTAGTTAGTTTAGGTTTTGTGATGGGTAACATTTGCGGTTAGGGAAAAAGGGGTGTTTACAGTACTGACATGTTTGACGGCTTATCTGCAAAGTACTTACCCTACTCTGATTGATAGCAGACGTGCAGGAACTGTTATACAGCGTGAATCACTCAATGTTGCCCTTGCTCCTCCTGGGTGAGAGGTTACTAGTGGGCATATGGGAAGTGATCCCTTCCACTTCCTGTACATGCTCACACACAGACACTGGAGGAGCTGGAACAGCACTGAGTTTTATACCCTATAACTGTTTTACTATCAAATATAGAAGGCTAACTGGGCTTGGCCAGTGAACCTCTCAAGGACAGCTATTTTATTGTTAACGCAACTTATCAGCATGAGGTTGGTTGCTGGCTTGCTATTGAAGCTTGGTGTTACTTGCGAGGCACAAACCAAGAAAGGTATGGTGGGGGAATAAAGCAATTGAAAACACCTAAAGTCAGTGGATAGTCAATACATTGTTAAACCCAGACCTGCATACATGATAAGGGTGATGTCAGTTGAATATATATGTAAGCACATCAATGTGTTTTAAAACAAAGCTTTTTATGAAAATGCATGGGCTATAACTCATTGTCCATTTAGGAAATTACCAATGTTAAGGTTTTCCAGCTTTGCAATGCTATTTTACATTATAATCTGGATTTTTAAATACTAATCTTCTGTTTCTATCCATTTATCACTATATAATAAAGAAAAAAACGGTTCAACGAGCCCATTAGAGTCTATTCACAAAATCCAACTTCATTTTGTTGTACGAATTTTGGATTTTTACCTGAGGATTTCTGTAATTAGAGGAGCTGAGTACCAACATTACCCATTTGTAGAATTATTTAACATTTCCTTGTATCCAGCCTGTAAGCCCTTCAGGCCCAGTGAGCCTGGAAAGCAGAGTGTGATATTTTTTTCATTCTGCCATTAAGTTTCAACGAACGTTAATGTCCTGGGGCTTTTGCAGCTGTGCGCAGTTCTCTAAATGTTTTTATTGCATTTGAAAACCATCCTTGAAAGCAGATCGTGCAAAGAAACTGTCAATTGTTAGATACATTTTTCTTTAATTTTTCTTTAATTGGTTGATTTTGTGTATTGATACGCCAGTTTTACATGATATTTCTGTCACAATATCTCTACATAATGCCAAATGATTGTAGCAGTCATACTTCCATAAATCGTATTCGCTCACAAGCACCCATTATTTTTTACTAAACTGTATGTAATTTGATACATTTAGGCTTAAACTGGAAATATAAAGGAATGCAACGTTTCTGTTTAATTCTAATTGTACCATAACCACTGCATAACATTGTAATGGTTATAGTGCATTAGCGTCTGAGGGTAACGTCTGCTCTGTATGTGTTACCAGGTTTTGGTGCCTACCATCTGTTCCTTGCTCTAGCAAGGAAGTATATGCCTCCATTGGGCATCCATCTGTGGACACCAACAATAGGCACACCATTGGATGCCACCCATAGACTCTTCATTCTATAAAGTTATGGTACTTAGAGCGCTCCTTTAAAAATGGCAAATTTGGGTTTTTAGTTTACCAGTTAGTGAATAAACTCTAGGATCTATTGGATGAAGACGAATTGTGTTTCTTATCCATTCCACACATGAAACTAAAATAGCTCAGTCAAGTCATAACCAATTGTATCCCTTTGCCGGAAAGGGAGTTTTATATTAGGTGAAGAAAGATTTTTTAAAAAAAATTAAAACCTAGTGAAAAAAATGTTGCCTGATCTGATCTTAAGATGTGTTCTTGAAGTCAGCCCACTCATTGTGCTATCAACAAACCTCACTGTGAAAATAGAAAGCAACTTAATTCAAAAGGTTAGATGAAGTCTTCTTTAATAATAATACACATTAATAAATATTTACCTTTCTGCTAATTTCTAGGTTGTAAGAATATGAGATCAAAAGAAAACAGCAAAAATATAAAGCATAAATCATAAACAAAATAAATACAAATAATATGGTATGATCCAAATAATTATTTTCTCCTTACAACCTCATGTCATGTCATACACTTCCGTATGTCTATCCTTGCCCAAGTTGGGGAAAAACAATTTAGAATGGAGACATACTGCAAAGGATCTGCAAATACATGTACACAATGAATGGACATGCTTTGTGAGTCTTGTGATGGGACACCAAACACTTGATATAAGGTTCTCAATAATTAAAAAGAACTTCGAAACCCTTTGGTCATTGCACTGGAAAGTCTCAACTCAATCTAATCTAAATGCATAGTTCAAATTGGAGAAACATAACCCCAGGGTGGGTTTGTCTGGTGATATCCAGTTGTGGTGAATGGTCTTCCTGGCAGCCACCAAGCCCATTTAAACACTATGGAAAATACCAAAATCTTGCTCTTTTTTTAAAGGAACATTCTAGCGTTATAAATACATTCATTTATAAGGCTGGTGTATTGGGTAGTCTTCCGTGCCCTCTTTTTCAATCCATTACATAAAGTGTTAACTTACCTGTAATGCAGGTGTGAGAGTTCCTTGACGCAGCCCAACTCTGACTGCTTGGAGCTTATTGGACCAATCTGATGCTTCTCAAAGTTCTGTGTGTTTAAAAGATTTTTGACAAATTATATGTTTGATTTGTTTCAGCAATGCTAAGTTTACTGTATGTCCATTGCAAAGTTTTGGGCTTATTATCTTCCTAAAAATATACAGAACATCTAAACAAGACAATAACAAATTACCCATTTCTAAGTTTGATCTCAAAGCTATCCCTTATATAAGAGACAGACTTCAAATTACTTAACTCGTCTCACTCAAACGTATTCCTATAGTACAGTGTGGATAATATGATTACACATTTACTTCACTGCTATATTAGCTCACATTTTGTTATGTCTAACAAATTATATTTTAGAACATAGGTCAAACCATTTCCTGTGCTGAACACAATGAGTAGCTGCACAACGTCAGGGCTTCAGTTTATTTTACGGGACTGTGTTTGTTTTACTGAAGCAGATCACAAAGCCTCACATTTTCCATATTTGGTAGAGGTCAAGCAGAGTGTGTGGTCGAAAGTTGCTGAGCCAGCATCGCAACTAAACAAGATTTGCAGGTAGGCCAACAATTTGCTAAAGCCGTGCCAGGGATTGTGAGGAAATCAGGATCTGCGATCACTGGAACTCTACAGGCGCTCAAAAGATATTTAGGTTTTTTGGCACTAGTGTTATTTTAAAAGTAATCATGGGACTGCTGGGTGGGAATCTGGAGAATGTAATGTTGAACTTCATAGCAAACCTTTGTTTTCCTTAAAGAACTTTTTTTTTTTGTCTGTGCATGTTTACCTGTAAAAAAACTGTTCAACAAATTTAACAATAATAATGTAAATATATATCTAACTGATTCTGTAGCAATCCTGATGTAATCCTGTAACTTCTGGAAAAAAAACAACACATTACATTTATATATATCTAGCCACTTTGGATGTACGGCAGATTTGATAGCTAGCTAGACAGTCAGATAGGAGGACAAATCCATAGACAAGCATGTAAGTAGTCTCGGTATGCTTTGAGATCCACAAACATTCACCTAGGTGTGTTTGCAGGGCTTCGAACCGTTGAACTATTCACTGTTTTTCTGCCTGGCGTTCTTTACGCCAGGCTGACATGCCCTCTCAGTGGGTGGGCATGGCAACTTCATAATTGAGACTACCCATTATGTGTTTCACCAGTGATTTAGGTCACTTGCAATGCTTTCTTAAATATGTTAATTGTATTATTTTTGTAGATTTATAGCCAAAATAGTAAATTTGTCTGAAGTATTTCTAAGTATTTAATCTAAGACTGATATAAAGGGTCACGCTAAGAAATACAAACACTCCATCCTACTTAAGTGCTTATGGTTCAAAGATCATTTCCCTGTAGCCAATTGTCTTAAGAATGTTTAAAGGATTACTCCAGCCACCATGGTCACTTTTGCTATTAGAAGTGGTCATGGTTCTAGGAATGTGTATGTGAAACGCTGCTTATACAGAGTAATCTGCGCTTTTGTGGGGTGGGTTAGTTGCACGCCTGGCACATGTGACTTAGGCAGCCTGGAACTCTGGCTTCCTTATGTTGATTCTGTGCAAAATTACACCTGTTGTCTCTGTATGCTGGTGACAGATGTAATGTGCTTTTCTCTCTGGCAGTGTGCTTGCAAGGGCAAGCCTTTTTCTCCCCTCGAACTTTTAGTTGAGACCTCCCACAATGCAATACTCGTCTCATGTCAGAAGGTCTGGGCAAACAACTGATTTTCGGATAATTTGAAACTTCAACTGCCATGATGCTTTGCCAACCTTTATAATGGCAAAGCATCATGCAGATTGCAGTTCTACAACATCTGGGTAGCAATCGTTTGCCCAGCCTTACCGTACAGTGTTCGAGACCAAACCTCAGTGGTGATTTATCAACATCATAGTGATTTGGATGGAATTTTTCCGCCTTTTTTGCCTTTTATATTGTCGTCCCCCTTACTTTACAACATATTTTCATTGTTTATAATTTTGTTTCAAAATATTGTATTGATGTGCCTTTATAAAAAAAAGTTCAATAAAATAATTTGAAAATGGAAATAAATATTTGTGAAAATATTTTATTGTAATTTTACCAGAAAATGAAATTCAAACAAATAATTATTAAGCATCACCTAATGACTTTTCTCTTTTTTTTTTTAAGATGGAAACATCTCACCAATGACTGGTACCACTATAACCTATGATGAGGTAAGTAGTTTGATGGAATTACTATAATATAAGAGAAATTTACAATACATCGCAATGCAGCTGATCTGTTCAGGTGAAGGTGTGTGTTGTCATGACACTATATATATATATATATATATATATATATATGGCTAAAGGGAAATATTGAGCAGTTCTACACATGATTCTAGTATCTAGCATACCTCCCAAATTTCCCTATTTTCGGCCCTATTTGTCTATTTGAAATGTTAGTAGAAATGATTTAGCACAAGCATGTCAAACTTGCGGCTCAGATCTTTGCGGCCTTGCGAGCTGCGAGTTTAAAATGCTTACTAAGGCAGAGTAGGCACCTGCTCTTCTTACATTGCAGGTCCCTACTAAAATTTTGCCTTGCGGCATTTTTTCTGGCGGCAAAAGCCCCAGACCAGCTCCCAAAGGTAGGGAACAATAAATAAAATAATGTGAGTGTGTGCAAGAATGTGTAAATGTGAGTGTGTGCGTGTGTGTCTGTCAGTGTGCGTGTGTCTGTAAGTGTGTGTCTGTCAGTAAGTGAGTGTGTGTGTGTCTGTCAGAGAGTATGTGTGTGTCTGTCGGGGAGTGTGTGTGTCTGTCGGGGAGTGTGTCTGCGTGTCTGTCAGTGTGTGTCTGTCTGTCAGTGAGTCAATGAGTGAGTGTGTGTCTCTCAGAGAGTGTGTGTGTCTGTCAGAGAGTGTGTATGTGTCTGTCAGTGAGTGTGTGTGTGTGTCTGTCAGAGAGTGAGTGTGTGTGTCTGTCAGTGAGTGTGTCTGTTAGTAAGTGAGTGTATGTCAGTGTGTGTGTGTGTGTGTGTCTGTCAGTGAGTGTGTGTTGGTCAGTGTTGCGATGGCCACAGCTTGACAGTGGCACGTAACACCATGTCACATTTCGACGTGATGTCAACAGGCTCCACCTTCACAGGGTTTCAATGAGTAGCGGGAGGACCCGTTTTGGCACAGGGTGCGGACCGCGCCATTGGGGGTATAACAGAGGCTGGACTCTGGAGTTGCATACTGGCAGCGGCAATGTGAGTTGAGTCTGCTTGTTGGCTAATATTGTTTTTTTTAAACAAGGGCCAGGGTTTAGTAGAAAGGGGTGCTGGGATTTAGTAGAGGGGGGGACTGGGATTTAGTATAGAGGGGGGACTGGGATTAACTATAGAGGGTGGAACTGGGGTTTAGTAGAGGAGGATGCTGTTTTTTTTTTATATATATATACTGTACTTTTCAAAACAAACTTACGTTTCAATGAAGATTTAAGTTTTGTTTTTTTGCGGCCCACGTAAACTTTGGCCTGTGCTAGCCTTTGAGTTTGACATGCTTGATCTAGCATCTACTTATCACAACTCATTAGAAAATCCAGCCATCCAACCTTAACATTTAGCAAAAGGTAATTATTTGCACCAGAATGTTAGCAACCTCAAGTATGATGTAGATACCATGGAACCACGCAAATAATATAAAAAAAAGTTTTCTTTTTTTTTTTTCATGAAACAATATGAATAAGAGGGGAGGAATTAGTCCTTAACAAACTTGTTTATTCACCAAAGAGTGAAATGTGCCAGCTTCACAAAATGTAGGCCAATATAGCGTAACAATTTTACTACCCTATATGGGTCTGTTATTTGCACGTCAACAATTAACAGCCACATGTCAGTCTTTACTAAACAAGACCTATTTTATTTGTGTTGTGATAGAATTGATTTAGCAACCTCCGTGTTTTTCAAAGCAGTAAATATGGAGATTGGCCAAGGGCATTGCAAGAAATAGGCCGAATTAACTTTTTTAGAAAAAAAGCTGTTTTGTAATATTGTTGCAATATTTTTCGGTTTAAATGTGTTTCTCTAAAGTTTCAATTTCTTTTTCAATCAGGTATGAGTCAGTGCCTCTCATTGATAAATAAAAAAAAAAAAAAAAAAAAAAAAAAAATATATATATATTACTAAAAGAGTAATTTATAAGAACTGTTTGTAAGTAGATATATACAATGCTACTTGGTGCTCAGATTTACCAACTCTAGAGTCCAAGCACCTCCATTTGTTGAGCCCAGATATCGCATGCCCATAGAGATCTATAATTTCAGTGCACAAAAAAACCCCAATAATTTGTAATTGCTCCTTAAGGCCAAAAATTGCCAGTCTTTCCCTTAATGCCATACTGAACATTTGGTGTCAGAAACACATTTGCTTGCATACATTTTGGCAGCAATAAGAACCATAATCAAGTTTCAGTAATGCATATCATCCTAGCTGTATATTTACTGGCAATGTCATTAGCATAAGGTATAAATTACATTTTAATGCACACCTGCAGTTTACTTTGTCATCCACACCTTTTCGTGAATGACAAGTCCATTTAAAAATTCCAGAGCAGAGTCGAAATCAGGTACAGATGGTCCTGTTAAAAAAAAAAAAAAAGTCTGCCTTGTATCTTCAATCAACATGCAGCTGCAGGCGCTGCTAATATATAGATGTATTGTATTGTATTGTCCCATTTAATTTACACGTGGATTCCTCCTGGTAACATACAGAAACATAATAAATAATAAAGGATCACCATACGGGTGACAAATATGCATTGAATGTGCAAACATATTAGCAATTTCTCTTTCCTTCATTCTCAAATAGGAATGGGACAAATCCTAAAATGAGAAAAGAGAACATTTGTAGTTTTTGAAGAAAATAATCTAAAATTCTATGTTTTTATATTTGTTACCACACCTTGCCTCTTCCAGGAAATAATACCATAATTCCACCGACATTAAACAGTCATAGAATGTTATCACAGTAGAGCATGTATACAAATCCTAAATGGCCCACTCTATGTAGACATGTTCAGTTACAGTCATGACAACCAGGGAAAATCAGAACATTGGGTGAGTTCCATGACAACCAGGGAAAACCAGAACATTAATAAATGTTCATACAGAGAAGAGTCCTTGGCAGGTTAATAGTTTGGGGCCAGTTTGGGGCCCTCTTTTCATTCTTCCCAAATGTATGGTGAAAGAGGCCAAGTAAATTCACGGCTCTAGGTCCCTTGTCTAACCCCTGGGCCCTATCCAGCTGCTTAAGGTCACCTTATGGTTAATAATGCTCTGTGTGCAAGATAGATGAATATAACTAGAGAGGCAAATGAAAAAATAGAAGGGCAGTTTACTATAATGTATCATTAACTGGATGCCTAAAGGAACACTAGAGTATAAGGAATACGAATGTGTGTTGCCAATGTTATAATGCCCTAGTCATCGTTTAGGTGACCTGGCCAGTCTGCCAGAGTTATTCTGCTCCATTTCTTTGGCTAAGATCATCGAGATCGATTATATCGGCCAATCCAGTGCTTACCCAATGCTTTCCCATTGGAAGGCTAGTGCGCATGCATGGGAAACTGCTGTGTCAATCAGATGGTCTCTGTATGACATCCACTAGTGGCAGCTTAACCCTACAATTAAAGCACTGCCATTCTTGCAGAACTCCAACTCCAAGGGTTAAAATACAGGGACATGGCACAGAGACCACATCATTGAGATTAAGTGGTCTGGGTGCTTATAGAGTCCCTTTAAGCATAAGAAGAGTACTAGAAGTAATGATTTTAACTAATTTCTGATTTAAGACGCAGCCGGTGTACCAGGATATGTACAGTAGCACTGTCTGATTGTACGTTTTGCACAAAAAAAAAGAGAAAAGAATGAGGTGAATGCATAGCATAAGCGTTTAACTGTGGAATGCTGACATGTGGTTTGGCTGGATAGACATAAATGCTAGGATTTGAACCTGAAAAGTGATCCCTAAGCACGGGATTATATACATTATACAACTTTTTTCCACAAATCATAAGGTGCTGCTTGCTGCTTTTTTTCATTGGCAGCTAAAAGTGTTCATGTCCTTAGAGCAGTCATGTTTAGAAGGGAGAAAATTGAATAGAGAAGCTTTTAAGATTATCCATCCCTGCTCTGGGAATACAACATTGAAATTCTCCTATAATGTCTCAATCTTTTTCATGTGATGCGCAGTTCCTTCTAAATGGATATTAAATTCTTAGAAAGTGACATCACAATCCAGTTCAGTCCTGACACAGTAAAGGCACACTTTGCATGTTTCTCATCCTCTCTGTTTAATCACGCTATGCATTCTAGACACCAGAACCACTACAGTTTAATATAGTGGTCCTGGGGCAAAGAGCCTGAAAAAAAGTTTATTTTTACACAACTTCTTGTGGGTTGTCACTTGGATAGCTACTAGAGGTTTTTTGTATTCTGCTTTTTCTCCCTTGGTGTATTGATATAAGCTCTGTTTGTTTGAATGTATACTGAGGATTTGAAGGTACTTAATTACTTATTTGACCTTTTTTTGATTTATGTGGTTATATTGGAATTCTTAGGAATGTGTCATAATAGAGTGTTCTTGATGTCACTGAATGAAACACAAATATTTAATCTTGCACAGTCTACTCCATGAATCCTCTTTCTATAATCAAAAGGCCTCGATTTAATATTAATGGATAAGCCTTTCAAACGATTTAATAGTTTTGGATAAATTTTTTTAAAATAATTTTTCCAAAATATTAAATGAGCATATACTGTAAATAAATTTATAAAACAATTATTTCAATATATAAAACAATATAAATATTTAAAGAACAAAATTCATACTATAGAATAGAATCATTCTAAAAGTTTATCTAGAAATATTAAACATTTTTAAAAAACGTGGCTAACAATAATAAACTGAGGCTACAGTGTCAACGGAAACATGTCTGTAAGGATGAAGTGTAATATTAAAAATGCCATTTTGATGTTCTTTTTTTTATCATCCCAAAAAAAATCACCCCCCCTTTCCCAACATATCCATTATAACTTAAACACAAATCTAAAATAGAGTCCTTTTAAATCAAGAAACTAGCTATTTCACATCTCATCTCTTAGTAAATACCCAGCTAATCCTATGAAACAATTTTGTCTCTTAATCCACTCCTCCATTACATG